GTAAAAACTTTTGCCCATTTTTCACTACACCTAGGCATCGATACGACGCCCCTTGCTCACTTTTCAAAACACCCAGAGGCAGGCGCAATGCATCACTTAAGAGGAATGACCTAGCATTTAATCGATTCAGAGTATTAGGTTTCATGTCATAAAGGATCCAAGCGGATTTTTTTACATGTTGGTTATCGGCAACCTAACGCACAACCCTCCTCCTTTACCTGAGCTTGGGACCAACGGAATTGTTAAACAACCCCAACGAAGTTTGCGATGTTTATAATCTAGGGGGAAATAATTTTATTTTTTAATTTTTTATGGATCTAAGTTCGGTTGTGTCAATGTAAAAATTTATTAATTTATTTTAATTTCAATGTGAATCCATTGATAGGCCTCAACTTAGAGGTGTCGCTTTAGGTCTCACATTAACTTGGGCCGGCCTTGTGGAAGAGAGAGTTAGTTGTACATGTAGACTAATGATAGAGATGATGGTAGACAAGCAATGAACAATTGTTTCTTTGCTATTGTTATACATAAACCGTAGTCTCTTCGGCGGTTTGTGTAGTTACCGATATTGTGCAGTTTATTCGCCGATATTATGTTGAAGTTGATTACATGCAGATTTTTCTAAAAAGGTGGATCAATATATATGAACTATTTGATAATTTTTTATATATTGTTTGATGATTTGTTGTGTATTTGTTTGTTACTATGCCTTTTTGGTTGAGTAATCATTTTTATTGCTATTGAACAATTGAAATAGTCGATTTTTACTTTTTTAAATTTTGTTTCGTGTTTTCATATTGCAGTGTGAATGTTCACACTACAATGAATTTATTTTATTTAAGGCTAGTTGTATGTTAATTGTAAACTATGAATATTCACATTTTATTTTTGTATGAATTTTGTTTTTTAGAAGATTAGTTATATGTTTGTTATTTTTGTTACTATACTTGATGGTTGAACAATAAGGGTGAGTATGGTCCGGATTGGACCGGATTGGAGTAAAATCAGGACCAATCTGTTATCTACGGATCCTGAAAAATTGGAACCAATCCAATCCGTTTAAATCGTAGAATCAATCCGAACTAATCCATTTAAACACGGATTGGATCGGTTTAGAACCACGGATTTATATAATTAAATAACAAAAAATAAATATATAACACTTTATTTTCATAAAAATATAAATATAGCGCCATATTAGTTTCATAATAGCAACATGTCTTTTCATAATAGCGACAAACTGTTTTAGAATTTAAACAATCATAAGAAAACTAGTTCCACCATAAGTATTTAGACCATTACAAATTAACACTAAAAACTAGCAAACAAAAGTAATAAAAGAAGATACTATGCAAGTTTAGGTTTGGATTTAAGTATTATATGAAATAAGAGAAGATACTATGCAGGAGGGTGTATAATAAAAATATTGACTATTTGTATACGGTCCGGATCGGTTCCAATCCGGAACCGTGGGGTTCAATCTGGAACCAATATCCGTGAACTATGGATTTTTAATTTTTCAATCTGGAACCGAACCATAGATTCAAAAAATCAATCCAAACCTACTGGATTGGACTGGACTGGATCGGATTACGGATTTCACTGATTCCTTGCTCAGCCCTATTGAACAATTATTTTTGTTACCATTGAACAATCGAAATAGTCGATTTTCACTTTTGTTTTATATTTTCACGTTGCAGTGTGATTGTTCACATTGGTATGATTTTAGTTTTTGAAGAGTACTTGTATGTTAATTGTAAACTGTGAATATTTACATTGTATTTTGATATGAGTTTTATTTTTTTGAAGGTTAGTTATAAATTTGTTATTTATTGTGAACATTCGCATTGTTGTTGGTATGTGTTTTATTTTTGCAAAAGTTAGTTGTATATTAGTAGTCATACTAACACAAACAACAATGTGTTATTTTAGTCACAAACATAGTGTGCACATTAGGATATGAATGTTCACATTAATTCTGTAATACAAATAGGTAGTCGCACCCAATGTTAATGTTCACATACTCATGTAACATTGAGTGTGTGTATGGTTCCATGAGGAGATATTATTTATCAGGATGCATTTGTAATGTGAAAGTTTACATCAATATTTAATGAGACATTTTCTTCAAAAGGTGGACGATTCAAGATTTTAAGAGTGTGAAAGAGTTTTTCTGTGCAATAAGGGAGAGATTTTTTTTCCCTTAAAATAAGGGAGATATTTTCTTCATGGAATAAGGGAGAGATTTTCTCCATGGAATAAGAAATTATTGCTATTTTTTTTTTATTGTGTATTAATTTTAAAATAGAAACAAGTGTAGAAAGTTGGAAGGGTGATTTGGTCATATTACACCAAATAGGACCTAATGGAATACTCAAAAAGAATATGGGTTAAATAAAACATAAGACTTAAGAATGAGATTTACTAAAAAAATTCCCAATTTTTATCAAACTAGTTTCTACTTTAAAAATAAATTAAAAAACAAATATAAAAAATCAAACATCACAAATTTAACATATATAATTACACTAATTTTCTAAACTTCCAACCTTGCATAAAACATTGACCCACACAGTTAAAGCTTAGATTTGGACATCACCATTAAAAAAATTGGTCCACGCGATTAAAACTAAGCTTTTTGTCAATCATTAAGATATTTTTTTTCATGACTAGATATTTAGACCAGTTTATGCATATCTTGACTAATTTTAAAAAGTTAAACCTAAAACTTAGAAGAAATACACTCTCAAATCCTAAGTTGCACACTAGACCAACCCTTAAGATTAATCACTGAGATATTTACAAATATGATAAGAGAATTATGTCAAGCAGATAACTTTTACCTTTGACAATGATTAACCCCTGATGTCTTAAGTACATATGAGTGATCTCATTTGATATAATTTTTCTTGTATTTATAAGAGCAAATAAACTCAATACAACAAAATTTTCATATTGGTAGAAAAGTAATAAACTTTTACCTTTGACAATGATTAACCCCCACTACAAAAAAAATTGTTTTTTGCGACGGCAAAACGCCGTCGCAAATACCCCAATTGCCGACTCAAAAGGTTTTTGCGACGGTAAAATGACATTTTGCCACGGCAAGTGGGGGTCGCAACAAAATGGGTTGCAAAAGGGTTTTAGCGACGGCAAGTGCCGTCGCCTTTGCTTTTGTGATGGGAAAATTCTTTTTTTGCGACGGCAAATTTCTGTTGCCAATAATAGATGAAAATCTGAATTTTTTTGCGACGGCACCGTATTGCCGTGGCTAAAAGGGTTTTTTGCGACGGAAAAAATACTGTCGCTAAAAGTGTATTTGAAACAGCAACCTAAGCCATTGCTAATGACTATTGTCGACGGCTATGATACTGTCGCTAAAGGCCTTATTTTTCAATAATATTCCCTACCTTTTGCGACAGTAGAGGTGCCGTCGCAAAAAGCCTATTTCAAATTTCTTTTTGAGACGAGATGTTCTGCCATCTCAAAAAAAATTAAAAAACAAAAAACAAAAAAAAAACCTATAATAAAAATATTAAAAATATAAAAATGACTTATATTAAATGAAAAATAACTATAAAAAAAACCAATAATTATATAATAATTAAAAAGTCCAATATATAAATAAAAATTCATCTATAATTAAAAAACAAGTTATATTCTAACATTAACAATTCCATCTTCTAGTTAAATGTAAAATACCACTGAAACACTGCAACATAAAAACAAAGCCAAGGGCAAAAAAAAAAAAAAAAAAGAGGAAGAAAAAAAGATGTACATAAGATGGTCACTAGCTACATTAATACTAGAATTGCTTTAATTACATATCATATAAGATTAACCCAATCCATGCCATGATTGTAATTGTTTTCTGGCACATAAAAAATATTTCCAAACCCTTCCATCCCAAACTCCCCTAGAAAAGGAGGTGGATCCATGGCTTCCATGGAGAACAATGAAGCCGGGCTGTTGCTTGAAACACCATCGCATCTCTCCAGTAGCCTCTGTATCTCCTTCTCTGCCTCGGAAAGCTGTTGGAGGCATTGTCTGCCTTGCACCTGGTGGAGGCATTGTCTGCCTTGCACCTGGTGGAGGCATTGTCTGCCTTGCACCTGGTGGAGGCATTGTCTGCCTTGCACCTGGTGGAGGCATTGTCTGCCTTGCACCTGGTGGAGGCATTGTCTGCCTTGCACCTGGTGGAGGCATTGTCTGCCTTGCACCTGGTGGAGGCATTGTCTGCCTTGCACCTGGTGGAGGCATTGTCTGCCTTGCACCTGGTGGAGGCATTGTCTGCCTTGCACCTGGTGGAGGCATTGTCTGCCTTGCACCTGGTGGAGGCATTGTCTGCCTTGCACCTGGTGGAGGCATTGTCTGCCTTGCACCTGGTGGAGGCATTGTCTGCCTTGCACCTGGTGGAGGCATTGTCTGCCTTGCACCTGGTGGAGGCATTGTCTGCCTTGCACCTGGTGGAGGCATTGTCTGCCTTGCACCTGGTGGAGGCATTGTCTGCCTTGCACCTGGTGGAGGCATTGTCTGCCTTGCACCTGGTGGAGGCATCTCCATTTGCTCAACAATCCTTCGAATCTGGGGCTCAAAGCCCATATCCAACATTCGATCAGCCTCATCCAAAGCCAAATACTTGATCATCCGAAGAGAAACTCTTGCCCTCTCTATCATATCTACTAAGCGCCCCGGTGTGGCAACTAATATGTCCACACCCCTTTCCAGATTACGGAGCTGCATAAGCACAGGTTTGCCCATTTACCCACAAAAACAAAAACAAAAAAAGTTAAGTGCATGGAATGTGTTGGACACAAGTAAAAAAATCAAAGAAATCATTGATATTTCACATTTCACAACCCTCAATCTGGTCTTCTACATATTAGAATTCTTGCAACACTCCAACTTCAATTGCACAAGAAAGAAATCCAAAACGTCAAATCCAAGGGAAGGAAATACAAATTAGCACTATAAACTAGTCAAAGAAATCATGTATGCATGAGCAAAACTTCTGATTTTGTATAAAGAAATTAACGTTGATTGAAGGAAATGAACTTACTAGGCAGACACAGTTTAAGTGAATAGATCTACTATGATTTTTGATAACTTTCTACTCTCTTTTCAGAGTGTGACACAGGAATAAACAATGGGGAAAACTTACAGGACTCTTTCATAGTAAGATTCAATAGTAGGTCTCCAAGATGGAAAAACTTCTGGAATTTCCTAGCCAGACAACACCAGAAATAATGTTTTCACCTTAGGAATCATGTACCCATTGTACAAAATGTATGCTAAATGACAGATCACAAAATGCAGGAGAAATGAAATTGTTATATGAGGACACATTAAGAGAACATAAACAAATGACAGCACACGAAATTATTAAAATACCTTCTGAAGGCCATTGATTCAGATTACTATGACTTGAAATGCTTTCCAGGGGACCAATATAGAAACTTTCTTTTGAGTCACCTGTACTCCAATCAGTAGAAGACAGTCAACCCCAAGTTCTTTTCTCCATTACACCAATGAAATATGTATTAATGAGAAAAGAACCGATTAGAGTTTCTCCATCTAATATCAATCATACCATCAATCAATGAGTTTCAACCCTGGCTTTAAATTCATGAATTGGAAAAAAGTATCTTTAAGACCACATCCTGTTTAGACTGAATCACAAAATCTTTGTAAATCATTGCCAAACTTGCTATTATTTGTCAATTTATGCTTCCACCAAAATTAGAGAGCATTCATTCAAATTTTCAGCATATTCAATCTCGATACTATACTGATACACTTTTCTGAATTTTTTTTTTATAATCTGAAAATTTCAACTTACATCGGCACATTTCCCACTTTATATACAATTTGAAAGCATCACAAAATTTGTTAAAAGTGAGAGAACAGTAAAACCTTTAGAACTTGAAGAAGGGTTGAGATTCTCGGCATACAGTGGCGTATAACCTCTATTTTCTTTGTGAAGCAATTTCATCTTCTCTTCAGGGGGGAGTGAGAAGAATCTTTTGCTCTCATCAAACACTTGCTTAAGCAGTTCTTGCTCTACCCCATAGTTTATGACGTAAAAGAAACCACATTCTATGCATGCCTACACCACACATCCGAATACTAATGAATTTGGGAACATGATGAGTCATTCTAAAAAACAAATCAAATTAATATCATCATTGTGACAGCTTCATACACATTACTGGCCCATTTCTAACAGTTTATAAGCTTTCTAGTTAATTGGCTTACCTTAACAATTAACAACCATATGCTTATCACAAAGAATTCTTTAGGCTGTGTTTGTGGAGAAAAAATAAAAAAGGAAAGAAAATGTAGAGGGAAAAAATAAAATAAAAAAAGAAGGTTAATTCAAATTTCCCTTCCCTTTTCCTTTCCCCATGTTACAAAATAAGTTGTTTGGATAACCCAAGAAATTTAATAATATCACTGCACCATTCATAGCTTTTAACATCATAAACTGACATTGCATAATTAATGAGTTTATCTATTCTATTATATAATGCGAGCGCCCAAGTTGGCGTGAACACTGTCGCCCATTTTACCATTCCCAAACTGCCCTTATACGATTACCTTAGTTTATTTTCAATACACACCGTCTAGTTAAGCAAATGACTTCCCAAATGACACTATATCACTTGTCCACTATAACACTGCTTCTTTTCTAAGCTGAAATATAACTAAGTATGTAAACATTCAAGTCCAATGGGATGTCCAAACACGCCCTAAATGCACAAACATGTAACTTGATTTTAATTTCTGGGTACTTTTGTCTTGATTTGCATATATAATATACCAAATCTGAAAAAAGAAATTAAATTAATTAAAAACAAAAACACACAGATTCATATTTCAGATTCATATTTAGATTTCAGAATTAATAAAATTAACATACAGATTTCAGATTTCACAACTAAGATCAACATTACACAGTGTGAGACACAACTAAGATCAGATTTCAGATTACACAGTGTGATCAACTAAGATCAACATTTCAGATTCAGATTAACATACAGACATTACAGACATCACAGAATGAGGGAGACATTACACACACAGATTCGATCGGTGCAGTGTAGAGATGAGAGATCAGGGAGAGAGAGAGAGACAGAGAGAGAGAGCAGACCAGAGAGTGAGAGAGAGAGAGAGAGAGAGATATTTGGTAGAAATTAGGGATTTTGGTTATAAGAGATTGGGGATTTTGGGGGGCGCGGGAATGGAAAAAAAAAAAGAGAGGAAACCGAGCGGGCGGGATTGGGGAAAAAAAAATAAAAAAAAATAATTTTTATCATAAATGAATATTTAAATAATATAAATAAATAAATAATAATTTTCATTTTCTTTTCGTTATTAAGGTTGAAAATTTATTTGTTTCACATATATTTTAATGAAAAATATTTTCCACTAAAATAAAAATTAATTTTCTATAGTCAATGAAAAATATTTTTCTGCGGCCTACTTTTTTTTATTACTAAAAATCATGAACTAATTTTTTATGGTAGAGGAAAAAGAACGGGTAAAGGAAATGGAGCGGTAGTAGTGGTGAAGGTTGTGGACAAGAGATGATGGTGATGGTGATGGCGAAAGAGATTAGTGGTGAAGTTGTGGTAGTGGTAGTGTAAATGGAGTGGCAGGGGTGAAAGAGAGGTAATGGTAGTAGTAATGGCAGTAGTGGCAGTGGTGGTAGTGGAGTGGTGGCGATAGTAGTAGTAATGGTAGTCGTAGAGGTGAAATGGCGACAGTAGAAGCAATGGTGGTAGTGGAATGGCGTTTTGCAGTAGTGGTGAAGGTTGTAAAAGAGATGGGTGGTGAGAGAGAGAGAGAGAGATGAGTGAGAGACAGATAGAGAAGAGAAAGAGAGAGACAGAGACAAAGACAAAGACAGAGTGATGAGCGAGAGAGAGAAAAAATGGTCGCTAAAAGTGCATTTTCTTGTAGTGGAAAGCTCAGTAAATAGAGAAGAGATGAGGGAGAGAATGAGCAATGTGAACACAATGGGGGAGAGAGACAAACAGACACATAGAGAGAAAGAGAGAGAGAGACAAAAGTGAGAGACAAACAAACAGACACAGAGAGAGAAAGAAAGAGAGAAGAGTGATAAGTTGAGACAGCATTTTCTACGTCACAAAAGTGGCTTTCGGTTTTGTTTTTTTTAGTGAAATTTTTTTAAATTTAAATATTTTTTTTAGATGTACCTTACTTAGAATGTATCTAAAAAAAAAAAATTTATGAAAAAATATTTTTAAAAAATTAATAAATACATAAAAATACAAAAAAAATGTATCATTATTGTATTTTTTTATATTTTTGGTATTTAGTGAATTTTTAAAAGATTTTTTTACCAATTTTAAAATTTTTAGGTGTATTTATGTTAGGTATGTCTAAAAAATTTAAAAAAATACTTAAAATATTAAAAAAATTAGTAAAAAACAATATTAACACGGAAAACAAGAAAGTATAATTTCTCAAAAGAGTTTTTGAAAACTCTAACCTAGCATAGTGTTGTGGTTTGAGATAGCTTCAATTATATACAGTCACAAAATGGTTTGAATAAATTCAATGGTATTTTTCTGTTGCAAAAAGAATTTAAAAAACAATGTCGTCTTACTCTTTTGATATAGCATTTCTCTTTTCATTTATTTTTTCATCTTCCTGTCTCTCTGTCTCTATCTCTTTCTTCTCTTTATCTCTTTTCATTCATTTCTCTCTATCTCTTCTCTCTTCTCTTTCTATGTCTGCCTGTTTCTCTCTCTCTCTCTCATTTTCTCTCTGTGTCTCTCGCATATCTCTCTTCTCTCTATCTCTCTTCGCTCATCTCTCTTATCTCTATTCTCTTTCATTTTTTTTGCTCTCTCTCTCTCTTATTTTCTATCTCTCTTCTATCTCTCTCGCTCATTTCTCTTCTCTTTCTGTCTCCTCTTTTTCTGTGTCTCTCTCTCTCGCTCATCTCTTTTCGTTTCTATTTCTCTTCTTTTGTCTATCTCTCGCTCATCTCTTGTTTCTCTCTCTTTTTCTATCTTTCCATCTCTCTTTCTTTCTCTCTCTATCTCTTTCTGTCTGTCTATTCTCTCTCTCCTTGTCTCTCTCTCACTCATCACTCTTCTTTCTCTCTCTGTGTCTACTTGTCCATTTGTCTATTTCTCCTTTACTATGTGTCGCCTTGCTTACTCTCTTACTCACATCTTCTTTATTTATCGAGCTTCCTTCTCGACTTTATCGATCACTATAAGAAATACACTTTTAGCAACCACTTTGTCTATCTCTCTCTCTAGCTCATCACTCTATCCTCTTTCTTATCTGTCTCTTACAAAATTAAAATATTTTTAAAATATTTAAAATATTTAAAATATTTAAAAAATTGATTTGAATTAAGTTTTGAACAGAGTTTCATTGCAATTATGTCTGTCTTTATTTATTTGAGCCCCTATCGATTTATCGATCCACTACAAGAAATGCACTTTTTAACGACCAACTTTGTCTCTTTCTCGCTCATCACTCTGTCTCTCTATATCTTTCTCTATTCGTCTCTTACTCATCTCTCTCTCTCAACCACCCATCTTCTCTACCACATTTTACCACTATTGCAAATGACATTCAACTACCACCATCTTCTCTTATCTCTTCATCACTCATCACTCTTCTTTCTCTGTCTGTTTTGACTATCTGACTGTTATCTCTCT